CCGTGCCGGAGTTGCGATTTGGGCCGAAAGAGGCCCTGGGCCTAATTTGGATTTTTTTTGGAACACGTGCAGGTACTGTTAGTGTGTTTCAGTTCCCCGGAAAAAATTCAGGGAAAATTAGGGACAGCCTGCAGGCGCACTGTGAATCGTATTCGGATCCCGAAAACAAGTAAGGACCCCTCACCCTATTTCCTATCACGGTATTAAAGTTCAAAATGATAAAACGGTATTTCTTGAATTAACGCATGTGTGAAATTGCTTAAAGTTGCTAATGGAGCCCGAGTCTAGTGTGATTAATGATTTACTGTTGTTTGGCATGTTTTACACTGTTTTACAGCTTTAAATGCATTATGGGTTTGATGTGTTCATTTTATAATTTCGAATGCATATATTACTGTTTTATTAATTATGGGTTGAATGACTGAAGAACTGATACTGTATGTTGTCTGTTCGGCATGAATTACGATTTGCTTGTTTAAATGTGAATTGATGATGCTTATTGAGGAAAAGGAAAATGAAAGATTGTGTAGACTGATAATTGTATGATGGGGTCAGCCTGACTAGATATCCTGGGAGATGGTGGACGGACCGGGTCCGTAGGGAACCCTACCGGGATTGTGGTCTCACATGCCGGACGGGGTATGGAGATCTTATGGTTTTGGCGCCCATACCGGACGGGGTATGGGGACGGCCCGTTTCACCCTCATACCGGACGGGGTATTGAGGTTTATGGTTTTGGCGCCCATACCGGACGGGGTATGGGGACGGCCCGTTTCACCCTCATACCGGACGGGGTATTGAGGTTTATGGTTTTGGCGCCCATACCGGACGGGGTATTGAGGTTTATGGTTTTGGCGCCCATACCGGACGGGGTATGGGGACGGCCCGTTTCACCCTCATACCGGACGGGGTATTGAGGTTTATGGTTTTGGCGCCCATACCGGACGGGGTATGGGGACGGCCCGTTTCACCCTCATACCGGACGGGGTATTGAGGTTTATGGTTTTGGCGCCCATACCGGACGGGGTATGGGGACGGTCCTGGAAACTGATTATGAATGTTAAAGGTTAACGGGTACCGGAACCCCTATGGACCCCCACGGATACTAGTAGGCTGGTAAATGAGAAAAAAGATATGTTGTACAATGATTGAATTACAAGAGGCGTGATAAGTGTTATGTTTTACAGCTTAGATTATTCAATGATTATGATAATGTTATTATTTTTCTCATATTGTTTTCATAAATTCCACCAAGGTAAGTGGATGGTAAAAGTTTTATTATTGATAAAAGGTTTTGTTGTAAATTATGCTCCATTGGCCTTTTTGTGGTTTTCTACCCACCTTTATCTCCGTGACGGTGAGATATCGTGATGTTCTTACTGGGCTAGTGTAGCTCACTCCTTAATTAACCATTTCAGATCAGGAAGACATGGTTCCCGAGCCCGTTCCGCAGGAGGACGACGAAGGGGATGCCTAGAGACTCTGTAGTCATACGCATAGTTCATTTTCGAGTTTTCTTTCTTAGTTAGTTTAACCTTTTATATTTTAAGTACGTTTGTTTGGTTTTTCGTGTAAGGGATGTTAACTGAAATTTTGATCTCGCTTCCGCATTCGATATATTTAAATACTCATTTCATTTTAATATTTTCCGGGGCCGTTACAACTATGCTTATATCAAATTTTTTTAAAAAAAATCAGATTTGAAATGGAAGCGTACCAGAATCTATAGAAGAAGAAATCTACATCTCATGTGGTAAATTTAACAAATTAACACGCAGTCTTTTGGAGTTCTCTCACTTTCTCTATTTCTGATAATGAGATGTTATAATAAAAAACTATATATATAATTTTGAAACCATAACCGCATATTTATAGGCAAATATGTCTGTCAATTTTTTATTTATAATTTAACATTTTACAAAATCAAGTATTATAAATTTGGTCTTTACATATAAAATAAAGTTCATACTTTAATTTGATGTATTAAATCCTAATATATACTTAACCGTATTATATCACTTTTAACCAGATCCAGTTAGTTTGATAGTTTTTTATCCACTATAATTTACATATGGTAAATTTAAAACCTAACATATCTATTTTTTAATTTAATAAAATGTTAAACCATATTTTAATCCATTTTGACAACACAAATTTAAAGAATATAACAATTACAAATAATTCTTTTTATTTAAAAATATAATAGACTCATTAAAATTTAACTTAACTTTATCATCATAATTCTACCTAAAAATTAGTAAGTTAAATCATTAATTTTACTGTATCAAGTATTATAAGTTTGTTATTACCAACTTATAATATACCTGAAAAATATCTACCTGTTTATAATTTTCATGAATCATGTATTAATTTAATAATAATGCATTAATTATAATGGAAATCTTATTTATTAGTCTAATAATAATTACTTTATTATAAAATAAAGGGTTAAAACTAACTAATTAACTAACAAAAATTAAATTATTACTATGATTGAATTTAATATATTATTATCGGGTTTTAATCAATAATGTGGGTTTATTATGCATAAAAAGTTATCAAATTTAATTGCGTTCGTTTAAGTGATCTGATACGGTTAAAAGTATTTTAGATCTTAATATATCAAATTAAAGTGTGAACTTTATTTTATGTGCAGATATCAAAAATATAATTTCTGATTTTATGGTGGGCAAATGCATTAAATTAAAGTGTGAACTTTATTTTATGTGCAGAGATCAAAAGCGTAATTTCTAATTTTGTGGTTGGTAAAATTAAAAATAATAAAAATTTAAATATATAAATAGATGGTTATAGTCCCCAAATCATACGTTAAGATTTTTGCTATTCTATCATCCTATCATCAGAAAAAACAGAGTGTGAATACTTCAAAAGACCAATATATTGATTTAAAAGATCTACCGCAGGACGTACATAATTTTTTTAACTATAAATTCATGTACACTTCTGTTTACAGATCTATTCTTTTGAATTCGATACGAACATCTTTTAAATCCATATATAATTTATTTTAAAATTTCTACAATTATTTTAAAATAATTAACCGAATTAACTAAGATATAGAATGAGTTATAATTTTATATTTTCTTGGATAATGCATTAGAGGATATAGAATTGGAGAGAGGTAAACTCCAAGTTAGTCCTCTAATTAGTGTTTAGATATAATAATCAACTTCTTTCTATTTTTAAGAAAAAAAATTAAAATAATCAAATCAAATTAATATATTTTAAAAAATTATTTGATTAATTAATTAAATTAAAAAATAAACAATAAATTATTTTATAGAGCATTGAGATACCATATAATTACTTTTAACATTTTTCGAATATTTTTGTATTAAACCATGAGCTTTTAGTTAAAAATTTTATCAAAATTAAGATAAATTTTATGAATTATTTAAATAAAACATTGGAGCTTGACATTGCGGATATTTATTAAGCTCACGCACCATTCGTCGCGCGTCGTTTTACCTTTCAAAGATTTTTTATTTTGAAATAATTAAAAAATTACAAAATAAAATAATAAATATTAATTATTTAATACGTGAAACACGAACGGCACGTTACACGTTTGTCGCGGGATCAAATGAAAATGAAAATGAAAATGAAAAAATGTTCTGGAAGCAACCAGAATTTTCTGGTGTGAATAAATTTTGTTTTTAATTTATATAAAAACAGATATTTATTTATATTTCGTATTTTTATTATATATAAAATTATAATATTAATATACCAAATTCAGACACGTGGAGTAAGACCCGATTCCACTACATTGGCCACGTATATTGAGAAGAGATATATATATATATATATATGTGAAAGTAAAACCTCGTATTCACACACGCGTGTGTGTGTATATATATATATATATATATATATATATGTAACAAGTACGGCATGAAGTGTTAGATGAAAATGCGTATTAATTAATAAGTGAAAAAGACATTAGAATTTTTATTTTTTCCATTTAATGAGTTTTCACTAAAATTTTTTGTGGACAGCTCTGAAGCAGTCTATTTATATTTAGATCAATAATTAATATATTTGATAAGAATTCGAATAAAAAATAGAGTAAATCGAAAATTTTTTTTTAAAAAATATGAGAATTAATTTGATATAAAATTAAAATGGGAATAAATTTGAATAAAAATAAATATTATTTTAGTTTATTTTTATGTTAGAATATAATATAATATTATTTTATTTTATTTTTATTTTTTTATAAACACTAACAAACAATTAAATTTACATTATATGTTATGGATGTTAAATAGTAAAAAAGTAAAATATATTTAGAAAAAAAAAATAAACATAAAAGTTTAAATGTATATAATACAATATTAACAAAAAGTTGGCGAGTAAAAAATAACAAAACTCTGCAAATAAGTAAATACAAAATTTTGAGTTATATAAAATTTTATATGAAATTAAAATAATAAATTCCAAAAAAAAAATTATACGTACTATTTATTTTAAATTATTTTAATACAATTTGTAAGTGTTCTTAGTTAAATTAAATGTAAGTTTGTAATGAATTTTATATTATATTTGAATTTGTTCCAAACAAAGTATTATATTATTATAGAATTTTTATAACATTTAAATATTTTATTTTGTTAAAAACTCAAACTCCCAAATTTTCAAAGGCTAATTTTAGGTGGGCTCACTGAAATCCAAATGTCCAACCCTATATAAACCCAATTAGTTGTGCTATTTAAAGTGTTATTATTAATTATATATACGAACCAAAAATTAGGACAAAATTATTAACCAAGTTTGTGATGGACTCAAACCACCCTTCTCGTCAACCAGTCAACGCATGCTTACCAAATTACTCTCTTGTACTTTCCCTAACAAGTCACGTGCCAACCATCCTCTTCTGCCTGCTGATTATATTATTATGCAAAACACAGAGACGTGCAAATATATATATATATATATATATATGTAAGTCTTTCCCTCCTCAAAAGTCATGCCTCAACCTAGGAAAATCTCAGAGAGAGATAATCAAGATGGTGGTCAAAGTGTACGGTGAAGTAAAAGCAGCCTGCCCCCAGAGGGTTCTGGCTTGTCTTCTGGAAAAAGGAGTTGACTTTGAAATTATTCGTGTCGATCTTGACTCCGGAGAGCAAAAGAAACCTCATTTCCTACTTCGTCAGGTTATATATACATATATACACACGCCCATATACACTCCGTGTGTAAATACATATTGTACACATTTATACTAGAGTACATTTTATATATAAATACATTTTGAAACTGAATTTTTATCTTAATTTTCTCCTAGCCATTCGGTCAAGTTCCGGCAATTGAGGATGGCGACTTCAAACTTTACGGTATATATAGATATCTATATATGTATATGTATGTACCTACGTATGTATAAGGGATGGTGGGTGAATGAATGCAGAATCAAGAGCAATCATGAAGTACTACGCAGAGAAATACGCGAACCAGGGGACGGAACTGACCGGCCGGAGCTTGGAGGAGAAAGCGGTAGTTGACCAGTGGATCGAAGTGGAGTCCCACAACTTCAACGACGTCGTTCAGCCGATCGTCTTCAACGTCGTCGTTTTGCCGCGCATGGGGGGCAAATGCGACGCCGTTCTCGTCAAGACGCTGAAGCAGAAGCTCCGGAATGTGCTGGACGTTTACGAGGCGAGGCTGGCGGAGACCAAGTACCTCGCCGGAGACCGGTTCACTCTCGCCGATTTGACCAACATGCCGGCGTTCAGGTATTTGGTCAACCAGGCGGGGATGGACGACCTGATCAACGACAGGAAACGACTCAGTGCGTGGTGGCAGGATGTCTCCGCTCGGCCTGCTTGGAAGAAGCTTGTTAAGATCGCTGGTTTGTGATCAGTTATTCCTCGGCCTATACATACGTATATATGTGTATATATGCATATATATATACACACACGTGTGTATAGTTATGTATTTTGGCATGAGGATAGCTATCAACTAAAATAAATGAAGGATCGCTTGCTTGTGACATATATATATATATATATAGAGAAACAGTATGTATTTAATGAGATATTGGTTCTACAACCTTCTCAGCACATATATATATATATATATATATATGTGTGTGTGTGTGTGATAATAAACTTTTATTTTTATTTTTATTTTTATTTTTATTAAATAAATTATGTTTAAGTTATTATATTTTATTTTGATTAACACTTAATAATTTACAATTAATTTTTAATAATTATCTAAAAGTTTTATAATTAAGGTTAGATCTGGCTCAACCCATCAAGTCCAAGATCGGATTTAATCCGCTCCATATAAAATATAATAATAAATAAATTAATGAAAAATAAACTAATAAATTTGAATATAAAATTTCAAAAATAAATAATCAACATAATAATAATTTAACAAATAATAGAAAGGGACCCACAAGCTGATTTAGGCCCAACCATTAAACCCATTAGATCAAGCCCCAGCCCAATCCATCATGGACTAGACCAATTTCCCAAGTTAGACAATTTTTTAAAAATTTTGTTCTAAATTTAAACTCGACCTGGCCCATTAAACTCTAGTTAACCTAATTTATCTATTTTAACATTGTAGAAAATGTACACGTGAGCACGTTGGAATCGGCTTCAATATTATTTAATCGAGAATTGACTCCAATAATATTGTAATACACAGATTCAAAAATCGACTCAGAATTTTCGTTTTAATTATAAAAAATTATATGAATAATTAAATTAATTTATTTTAAATTTAATTTTATTGAAATTTTGAGAAAAAATGGATTTAAGGACTGAATTGAAATCAATTTTGAAAAAAAAAATGATAAATTTTTGAATTCGAATGATGTTTTTGAAATGAAGTTTGAAAATAGGGGGTTAAAACGCAAAAAAAAAAAATTGGCCACATAGCACAACCCAGTCAGCAGCCCCGGCAAATCAGAACACATCGCGTGGTCAACCTGCTGACATCTGCACCACGCGAGGAGCCACGTGAGCAATCCGCATGTCTAGCGATCCGACGGCTCAGATCTCATCCCACGCGCGTGAACAACCCATATGAGTTTCTTTTTTATACGCGATCAGATGGACGGCTCGGATTTGCCCACGCTATCAGCCTAAACAAAAAATCATTGAACGATCTTCCTCACTCTACGTCGACGCAAATGAACAGTTCAGATCAAAGAGGAGATGGTATTTAAACCTTTCTTCGCAGGAGAACCCAACCTTAGCCGCCAGGCCCCCGCTGGAGAAGAAGAACTAGACGCTGGAGAAGAAGATCGGCCCCTAGCCGCCGCCGCACCATAGCCACTGCCGACCACCAAAAAAGGTAAAAAAATTTCTTTCCTCCTTAGAATTTGATTCTAAGTCTCCCTATGAACATATTGGACCAAAAGGGACGACGGGTAAGCCAGAAACCGCAGGCAAAACTCGGTAGAGCCCCCGCGGCTGAAATCCTAAAACTCTTTTGATGAGTCTCTTCCCGTTTTCCGTTTCACACAATTCTTTGATCATTGTATTTAACGTCCCTTTTTGTGCAAGTTAGCCGAAGAAGAAACCCCAGCCGCGAAGGAGAATCGGCGGAGTTGTCTGTAGCGCCCGGAAAATTGAAAAAGAAGAAGAGAGAAAAAAAAAGGGGGGGGGGGGGGGCCACGTCAGCAGTCTCGACCAACCGGGACCTGCCACGTAGCAAGACCACGTCGATCCAGGACGGGCCACGTTGGCAATCCGCGTGCGCGTGCACGGACGACGCAGATTTAATCGCACGGACGGCCCAGATTTAATCAAAAACGGACGGCCCAGATTAAATCAAAATGGACGGCTATGATCAAAAGGCAAAATGGTATAAATAGAACCCCCACACCAGACCACAAAACCCTAGCCGCCTGCCCTCGCCGGAGAAGACGAACCAGAGCCGGCCGCCGCCACCCGCCGCCGCACCGGGGAGATTTCCGATCGCCGATCGAGGTAAATTTCATACCCCCGACTCGTTTTTCCACGCTGATTTCCCCAGTGGCCAAATCGGAGCCAAAATTCCGGCCAAACGGCCGGAAAACACGACCGAAAGCCAGCAGCGCCGCCGCGCCCCTCCTCAGTTTTTGCCTCCGATGAGGCCCTTCCCGGCCTCCGTTTAATGCAATTTTTATATCACCGTGATCACCATTCTTTTATCTACGGGTTGATCGGAGCCGAATCACCAAAACACGAACTTCTACGGAGAGCCGCCGCACCTGAGAGCACCGCCGCCGGTAAGCTTCGGTTTTTCGTAAATTTTCGGCCCCCCGAGGGCCGTAGGGCTGTTTTATCACAGGAACCAATGCGAGTGTGGCCGAATTCGGCCGGAAACGGCCAAAAACGGCCAACCCGAGGCGAACCGCCGCCGCAAGCGGCGGCACCGTCGCCGGAGCACGGCGGAGCCGCCGTGCCGGAGTTGCGATATTGGCCGAAAGGGGCCCTGGGCCTAATTTGGGATTTTTTGGAACACGTGCAGGTACCAGTAGTGCGTTTCAGTTCTCCGGAAAAAATTCAGGAAAAATTAGGGACAGCCTGCAAGCGCACTGTGAAGCCGTGTTCGAACCCTGAAACGAGTAAGGACCCCTCACCCTATTTCCTACCACGGTATTAAAGTTCAATAAATGATAAAACGGTATTTCATGAACCAACGAATATGTGAAATTGCTTAAGGTCGCTAATGGAGCCCGAGTCTAGTGTGTTTGTCGGTTAACTGTTATTTGGCCTGTTTTACAGTTTTAAATGCAGTATAAGGTTTAATATTTTCATTTTATAGTTTCGTGTGCATATTTTACTGTTTTACTGATTATGGATTGAATGACTGGGATATTGATGTTGTATGTTGTCTGTTTGGCATAAATTACCGTTTTGCTTGTTTGTATGTGGATTGATAATGCTGACTGAGGGAAATGAGAATGAAAGATTATGTAAATGGGTAATTGTATAATGTGGTCAGCCTGACTAGATATCCTGGGAGATGGTGGACGGA